CTCTTACCCCCTCCCCTTGTAAAACATGCTATAAAAAAGCATTTCATGTTCAAAAAAAAAGAAATTAATAAAAGAAAATACAATTAAAAAAAAGCATTTCATGTTCAAAAATAAATAAATAAATAAAAAAAATTAAAAAAAAAGATGTACATCACCAAACTTAGCTTTTTTTTTAATATTTCAGGATCAAGTTTAATTAGAGTAAAAACATATTCTTGTTAAAATCCAGTTTACTAAATATGACTCTAGGCAAGGTACTTTAAACCAAAACTGTTTTGTCAGTTGCCACTGGTGGTACTGTTTATACTGTCATTAACCTTGTCAGTTAGACTGATTGCTTGCCACCTAATAGCTCAAAAAGGCAGTGAGTGACCACTAGAAATTTCAGAAGACTGTTCTGTGTTGATCCTCAGCCAGAAGCAGACAGCTGTCCCTGCTTTCCTTCGATAGGGTAGCTCTGCATTTGACTTGACACTAAAGCAGAGAAAACAGTCTGATGAAGAAGTCTGTGTATTCCATTCCCCTGTCATTCTAAAAAGGCTTTGCCTGACCCCGGACTTTTCTTTTTTTTCCTATTCTGGTTTGGCCTGTCTTTGGTTTTAATCATTTGAGAAATCCTATAACCAACACCCCCCCACACACAGCTTCATTTGTTTTAAAACTACTTGTTGGTTCCATTTTTTCCTAACTTTGTGATCCTGGTACCTCCAGATGAGTCACATCTGCCCTGTAAATGCTCTGAATTTTGTTCAGAATAGACTGTATTCTATATTTAAATATGTGCATCAGAATTATAGACATATTTCTTTAGATATTTTATCATTTCAAAAATTATAAGAATGCATACCTCTGTAGAGCTTTTCTGAAAAGTGTGAATTATTATTTGAGACAGCGTAGACACAGAATATCTTACCATCCACAATCTTCTACTTCTTTAGATCTGGAGTTCCCTGTGTGCCAGGTCCCCCTGGTGGCCATCAGCACCTCCTGGAGAGTTTTGTGCCTGAGCTCACAGTTCCATTTCCTCACTGTGTCACTTGCACAGTAATACATGACAATGTCCTCATTTCTCAGACTGTATATTTGGAGATGCAATAAGTTCTTAGAATTGTCTCTGAAGATGGCAATTCTGCCCTTCACAGACTCTGCATAGTTTCTTGCAGTACCACCATTTTTAATATCTGGTAACCACTCTAGTCCCTTCCCTGGGACTTAGAGAATCTAGCTCATTCAGTAATTACTGAAGGTGATTCCAGAGTCTTCACATGAGTGTTTAATGGACCTTCTAGCCTGACCAAGCAAACGCCAGATTCTACCAGCTGCACATCACCCTGTATGCCTGAAAACAGAAAGAATCCTAGGCAAAAAAAAAAGCTGTCAAATATATCCACTGATCCTCTTATGCAAGTTCCTTCAAACAAACAAAGTCTCTTCTCTATGCATTACCTTTTAAAAGAGCAATAAGGAAAACACACCTAAGCCTAACTCCATATTGAGTAGCCTATTTTCTGTGCTAATCATTAAATGGGTGATCCGACTGGAATCCAGTGCTGAATTCCTCTGCCACAGGTGAGGCTCAGCACTGGGATGGTTTTATTGAGTGGCAGAAGTCCCTATTTGCATCACCTTTTGCTATATAGCAAGCTTTGGGTGGAACTGTGTGATAAGACAGTGCTTAGAGAAGATGCAAGGGTCTTTTTGACACTGAGAATCATGCCAATTATATGTAGTTATGTCATGCCTTTTAAAATATGAAATATATACAGCATCACATACTCTTATATTTCCAGATCAGGCTCAAGTCTGCTGTATTATCCCCAGTGTCTGTTTTTGCACTTATATATGCTGTGTACAGATTCTCTCTGAGACAATACTTGGTCAGAATTAGACTTGCCTGATAAAGTTCTAAAATTTCCCTAAATGTGATGGAAAAATTACCAGTTTTGTTCATTTAATTCTTTTTTTTTAAGTTTTTTTGTTTTTTATTTATTTTTTTATTGGATGTTTTATTTACATTTCCTATGTTGTCCCCTTACCCCATCCCCCACCCACCCCGGAACCCCCAATCCCCTCACCCCTCTTCCTTCTTCTCTGTGGATGTAACCACTATCTATTCCGCCCTACTCCCACCTCCCCACCCTCAAAATTCCCACCCCCTGGGGCATCCAGCCTTCATGAGGTCAAGGTTCTCTTCTTCCACCTATGCCCAGCAGGGCCCTCCACTCTTACATATTCAGTTGAAGCCCTGGATCCCCCCCCACCAGGTGCTCCCAGGCTGGTGGTTTAGACCCTGGGAGCTGTGGTTGGTTGGTATTATTGTTCTCCTCATGGTGCCGCAAATCCTTTCAGCTCCTTCAGTCTTCACTCTAACTCCTCTATTGAGAAACCCATGATCAGTTCAATGGCTAGTTGTGAGCATCTGCCTCTGAATATTTCAGACTCTTGAAGACCTCTGAGGAGACATCCATATCAGACTCTTATCAGCATGCACTTCCTGACTTCCACATCAGCATCTACCTTTGGTGACTGCACATGGAAGGATACTCAGGTGGAAAGGTCTTCAGATGGCCCCTCCTTCAGTTTTTGTCCCTCCCTTTGTCTCCATATTTGCTCCCTTGAGTATTTTGTTGCTCCTTCTAAGAAGGACCGAATCACCCCCACTTGGTCTTCCTTTTTTATGGACTTCATGTGGCCTGTGAGTTGCATCTTGGGCATTTCAAGGCTCTGGGCTAATATCCAATAATCAGTGAGTGAATACCATGTGTGTTCTTTTGTGATTGGCTTACCTCACTCAGGATGATAATTTCTAGTTCCATCCATTTACCTAGGAACCTCTCGAATTCATTGTTTTTTAATAGCTGAGTAATACTCCATTGTGTAAATATACCACATTTTTTGAATCCATTCCTCAGTTGAAGGACATCTGGGTTCTTTCCAGCTCCTGGCTATTACAAATAAGGCTGCTATGAACATAGTTGAGCATATGTCCTTATTATATGTTCGAGCATCTTCTGGGTATATGCCTAGGAGTGGTATAGCTGGATCCTTGGGTAATGCTATGTCCAATTTTCTGAGGAACCGCCAGACTGATTTCCAAAGTGGTTGCACCATCTTGCAGTCCCACCAACAATGGAGGAGTGTTCCTCTTTCTCCACACCCTCACCAGCATCTACTATCACCTGAGTTTTTAATCTTAGCCATTAATACATATATTTGAAGCAAATGTACTTGACATCAGATGCTTGCACATTTACAATCTCAGATTCTATGCATCCACATACATGAAACCTGGTGTAAATATCAGTGTAGTCACAGATATGAACACATAATTTATCCTGAACTTATCTAAAATACATGAAGATAAATCTCCTTCTGACATTAAATTTTGTTGTGTTGGTGAAGAGAGACATTTATTCTGTGCTATGCCTTTTTAAATCTCATTTATTTGTTTTTATAAGAATATTTTTTCTTTCTACTGCTTTAGATTAATATTATCTAGCAGTTTTAGTCATTTATATGATGTAGAAATTATCCCCTGGACTAGGTTGGATTTTCTTGCTTTAAAGAGTCAGTAAAATGAATATACATCAACACAGATAAAAAACATTTTATTTTCTATCCCACGATTATCTGCTCACTGGACACCAACCAGAAATGCAAAGAACCTAATAACTGCTGAGCTCATGCCATCGGATGTCTTTGAGAGTCCAAATTATTGCTAAGGAGCTGGAAGCTCCCTGGATTGTAACTGGGACACTCACAGCATGGAATAGAAAGAAAGCACAGGAGCTGCCTCAAGACACCAGCAACCCAAAGAATGCTACTATGAGAAAGACATGACAGCTTGTTAGTCAGGATTCAATTGCAGAAAATACTGGTTCTTGCATGTGTCACTAATGATAGAGATTTGACTTTTGAGAGATGGGTTGTAGCCAGTGTATCCTAAAGTAAAATTTCTATGCTTGGTGTATGTTGCGTGCCCCCTGTTGGTAGAGAGCTGCTCTACAAGGAAGTTTGAGTCTGGGCTCACACTGATGACCTCACACTGTGCTTCATGCACAGAAATATGTGGCTGTGTCCTCAGAAGTCACAGAGTTCAATTGCAGAAAATACTGGTTCTTGCATGTGTCTCTAATAATAGAGATTTGACTTTTGAGAGATGGGTTGTAGCCAGTGCTACCACTGTAGATTATATACTTCATCCCCTCCATTTTATTTCCTAGGAACTTCCAGATATAACTCCAGTCATAACCACTGGCAATGTAGTAGCCATTGATAGAGCAGGTAAGAGACAATGACTGAGAGGGTTTCACCAGGCCAGGTGCAGACTCCTGTAGTTGTACCTCAGGCTGGATACCTTCAGAGAACAAGAGCCAATTCTATGAGCCTTACATTTTCAAAAACCCTAATGGGCACATGTATGAAATGTCAACACTCACCAGGAACATCTGCCAACATGTACACAAGACTCGACATTCTCAGCTTTTAGGCTATACCCCTTTTCTTCAGAGGTCAACCTCCAGTGAGAGAGATATGAGTTGCCACAGTCCAGGAGGGGATTTAACTTAGAGTTAGAAGGAGCATTTGCAGGCAATGAGCCAGTCCTGCCTTCATAACTGGGGAAGATGAATGCTAAGTACACTTGGTTATTAAAGTATGACCATCACAGTCTCTGGTATCCTATAATAAGAGTCTATGTTAAGGTAATGTTGGGCTGCAGCATGTCTGGGTCTGGGTCCTGTTGGGTTGAATTTTGGCTCCTGTATCTGCTCCTCTCAAGGGGCTAGGGCTGCAGTTCAGAGAGGCACAAGCAGGATATTGACTGTGTTCATTCCATGCAGGCACTGGATGGACATCTGGCCATGATAATCCATGGGGCTCTTCTTCAGGGGTGGAGCAAACAGTGTCTAGGGTCTCTCAGGGGCCAGAGCTCTTGAGCTTGGGGTTCTTGGGCCATGAGATGGGCAGAACAGATTGGATCTTAAGCCCTTGGAATATCAGGCACCACTGAGAGTTTGCAGAAGGGCTGAGACAGTGGAGATGTACTGGATGGATCTACCTATAGCTTAAGGGGTGAGGGGGAAAAGCTCTGGTTGCATCCAGTGGGGATGAAACTCTTTGTCTCAGAAACTTGCTTGGGTGGGTCAAGGCTGGTTCACCTTGCTTGCTTGAGTTGGAGTCCTCCTCCATGGCTGGGAATGTAGAGAGGTCAGCAGTGGGCGATTAGATGATGGCTCTTTAGTTGAAGACTTTTTACATGGTTTCCCAGAGAATAGAGATATTCCATAGCCTTAAGATATTTATTGTAGTGGCAGAAAAACAATGAAAGTATACCCTGGTATTCTCAGGGTGTGCCTGAGTTTAAATACGTTTTGCAATGGGGAGTGTCTGGAAAGAAATACTTAATTGGCTACACCCTCTGGCCTTTAGGTATCTCATTAATATGGAGATCTATCTTGAGGTTCTGTGGCCTGTAGTCAAGCTCTCTACCTGTGAAGGGGCTAGAAGGAGTGTTGCCCCACATGACTGATGGCCACAGACCTCTCTGTTGGGGGCAGTAGCTATGTGAAATGAGGCCAGGGGCATAGGAGCAAGGCCAAACTTCTACTGTCCCTGAGGGTCTCTGGGGTTAAAAGCCTGATCTACCAGGTACCAGCTGCCTCTCAAATCCCACAAGGGAGTACTAAGACTGTAGACATCACAGGAAACACATCTAGACATGATCCCACCTTCCAATCCTAGACCAACCTCCCTACAAACCATATCCAGCTTCTGGGATCTTAAAGCTTCAAGACAGTGCCAAACTTCCTTTCATACTTGAGTTCCTGACTTCTTACTTTCTTACTAGTAACTCCACACTGTTTCTAGTTTCTTCTCATTCCCTGCCCAGAATATTTGTTTCCATTTTCCAAAAACTTGGTACATACCCTTCTTCTGGTTGTATAGATCATCTCATATCTTTCCAGTAGAGAGTCCTGAGCTGCATGCACATTAGCTGTAGGTAGGTCACATGAATTCTTCTTCTTGTTGTGAGAATTTCCTGACAGAAATCCAAAGGACGTACACCAGATTAAAGCAACCATACATTGTCTTTCCCCTTTCAAAAATTTCTCATCAGCATTTCCTCTTATTCATTCCCTTAATAAATATTAATATTTGGATCAGTTGATATCTCAAAATAACGTTCTAATTTACATTTTCTTGATAAATCATGATGTTGAACACTTGAAAAAGTGTTTACTATTCATGCTTTTGCATATTTTTCCATTGCACAAAGAAACTATAAAAATTTTCAAGGAATCTCTGCTGTATGGCTGTTGAATCAGTTCATTTTTGGACTTTCAAAGGCTGAAGGCAGAATTCACTGGGTTGTGCAGAGAAACCAATGAATAACCCACTAGACCCTTTTTATTCTCCCTCTTTATATCATATGTGGAATGCTCTCTGTCAGATCAATTTCAGTTCTTTCAGTTCATGATACTCTGCTCGAGCCCAAAGAACTCTTTTGATGAACTTTTTTCTAATGTCCACATGAAGCTTTATAGAAAATGTATATGATCAAAGGTACCCATGAATCTGTGAGGAAAGTGACAGTTTTATTTATCTATGTTCAAAGTAATATTTCTTGGTTTTCTTGTTATTTCCTTCATTTCAACAACAAAGGCAACATTTTAACAGTCAGATTTCACACACTTCTTAATATTTACTTATATTCCTAACAACCCTTGGGGCACACTGTGCCTAAATTTTTTATACTTTTGATTCCTTCAGTTACTCCTTGTTTATGTTAGAATGATGCAAGTGGAACATGTGTTTAATCATATAACTAAATGAGTGCCAAAACCATGTCAGTCAGGAGTGAGAGATGCAGTTCCTGCAGCCTGAGGAGGTAATTTGTTGCATGCAGCACCAGTAAGAACAGCAAGTCTCCTATTTAACCCCAGAGTAAGAATTGACCATTAGTCATTACAGAGAAGAATGTGTACATCCCTGACAAGAATAATACCCTATCATTATAGGATGCACTGTAGCTTTAATGAATACAGGGTGAGTATCTCCCTCTTGCTCAGCTGAAAAATATCAATCACAAAGGAAGGCAGAATACAACTAAGCTTACTGTGAAACTTAATATTAGTTTTACTTTATTCAGTAATACTATTTCCAAAACAATCCAAACCAATATTCTGAGCTTATTGTACACTGGGATGTATTTTGAAGACCTTTCCTGAATGTCTCATAATTTACCTAGGCCTGGATTCTCACAGGTATTTTGGAATCCATGGCATGGGTTCCAATCTTCAGACAAATTTAATAACACCTTCCCCCACCTTCACATGTTTTAAAACAAATTGTTGGTCTCATGCTTCCTCAGGATGAGATCCTGTTACTCATAGCAGAGTCACATCTATATTTTTAATGCTATGTGTTTTGTTCTGAAAGAGTATATCCTGTATTTAACTATGTCCATTAGAATTAAAGAAGAATTTATTTCAAATTATTCAGACAGAGTATTTTATTTTTATTATTTCAATTTGTGCGTCTGTTTTTGGATCTGTGCAGTGGTCATAGAAGTCAAAGATGATATCAGAGTCTCTGAAGCTGGAGATACAGGTAGTTGCAAGCTGGCTGACATGTATGCTGGGAGCTAAACTTGGGTTTCCAACAAGAGCAGTGCATTGTCTTAACTGGAGCCACTCTATATTCCACTCAGGATAGTTCTTGATATATCTATCTATCTATATCTATATATCTATATATCTATATATCTATATCTATCTATATCTATATCTATCTATATCTATATCTATATCTATATCTATATCATCTATATCTGTATCTGTATCTGTATCTGTATCTATCTATATCTATATCTATCTATATCTATCTAATCTATATCTATATCATCTATATCTTTCTATATCATCTATATATATCATCTATATCTATATCATCTCTATCTCTCTCATCTATCTCTATCTCTATCTATAGTATGTGGGGACCCTTATTTGCATAATGAGGATCATATTTATCTGGGTGGTTTCATGATACATACGATGATTTTAAAATGTTCAGATTAATTTCATTTAACTCAGTACAAATGGATTAAAATTCTTCAGATATCCACTTACAGAAAAGAAGACTGCATGTTATCACATTATGATGAATACAAAAGTACATTTACCCCCCCTCCTCCCGCCCGTCAATCTCTCTTGCCTGTCTGCCTCACATCACTCACTTGAACTCACCACAGCATGTGCTGGACTAACTGTTGTCAGTCACTCTTGTCCAGTATCCACCCCAGCTCATAGCCAGGATGATCCCAGAGTCACCTTCATTTCAACAGTTACCCGCTGACCTGGAGATGTGGAGTATAAACTTAAAGAATTGAAAGCCATAATTGACTGAGCATATACAATACAGGTACTGGACAATGAGAAGGAGAGAGAGAGAGAGAGAGAGAGAGAGAGAGAGAGAGAGAGAGAGAGAGAGAGAGAATCCTACTCCACTTCTGTTACCTGGAGCTCCCTGTGTGCCAGTGCCCCCTGCTGGTCATGAGTACCTTATAGAGAGGTTGGTACCAGAGCTCACAACTTACTTTCCTCACCATGTCTCACACACAGTAATGCAAATCACAGTCTTCATTTCTCACATGATGCATTTGAAGATACAACAACTTCTTAAATTGTTCCTGTAGATGGCAAATTGTCCTTCACAGACTCTGCATAGTTTTGGCACTCCAGTCATTTTCTATTGTCTAACCACTCTAGCCTGGGGTTTGGAGTATCTAGTGCATCCAGTAATCATTGAAGGTGAATCTAGATGCTTCACAAGAGAGTTTAATGGATACTCCACTCTCCACCAAACTACCTCCTTATTCTACCAGTTGGAGTCCACCATGTATGCTTGAGAGCAGAGCTAATCCTAGTCAGAAAACTGTCATAAATATCTACTGTGCTGCTTGTGCATGTCCTTTACACAGTCTCTTCTCTGTGCAACATGTTTTAAAAGAACCTCAAGGAAAAGCCATCTAACATCCAACTCCATGGTGAGTAGTCTGCTTTCAGTGCTAGTCCCAGAAAGGAAAGACCTTGCTGGATTCCTGGGCTGAGCTGCTCTGCCACACGTGAGGCTCAGCATTGGGCTGATTTTGATGAGTAGTAGAAGCCCCAATTTGCATCACCTCATCCTATATAGTAAGCTGTGGGATGGAAATCTGTGAGAAGGTGTTGGTCAGAGAAGATGCAAGGGTCATTTTGGTCATTGCAAATTATGAAAATTATATGTAGTTAAGCCATGTCCTTTTTAGAATATGAAATTTAAATAGCATTACATACTGTCCTATTTCCAGATCCATCCCTGGTCTGTAGTATCATCCCCAGTGTCTGGATTTGTGCTTCTCCATGCTGTGTAGAGTTTCTATCTGAAACGACACTTCTTCAGACTCAGACTAGTCTAATGAAGTTCTAAAATCACCCTCAATGGGATGGGAAACCTTTTGATTTGGTTTAATTACATTTAATGGAAACATGAATACATATTTTATTTGAAGCAAAAGTTTTGACATCAGATGACTGCACATTTACAATCTCACATTCTAATCAACCATACACATGAAATCTTGTGTTACTATCAACATAATCACAGATGTGAACACATATTTTATTCTGAACACATCCATAATACTTGAAGTCAAATATACATCTGACTTTAAATTTCATTGCTCTGGTGTTGAAGACATTGACTCTGTGTTAAGCTATTTTTTTTTTGACGCACAACTCTCTTGTTACATGAATAACTTCTGTTCTTTCAAGTGCTTTTGGATGTGTATTATCTATCAGTTTTCATCATTTACATGATGTAAATATTATTTCCTGGAATAGGAAGGATACTTCTGGTGGAAAGAATCAATACAATCCATATACATCGACACAGATATAAACGTTTATTTTTTATCATTTTATCCCATGGCTATCTGCCCAGTGGATGTCAACCAGAAATACAGAGACCCTGATAGCCCCTGAGTTCATGTCAATGGATGTCTTTGAGATTCCAAATAAGTGATGGGGGCTTACAGCTCCCTGAGATTTCTCTGAGACACTCACACCAGGGAGCTGACACAAAGCACAGTAGCAGCTCCAGGACACACATACACTTTTTGTGAGTGCTCCATAGTCTCAGTATTAGTGAAAGGCCTTGAAGCCTCCCATTAAGATGGATTCCAAGTTGAGCTTGCCCTGGAGCTCCTTTCCCTCAAGCTCTTCTCCATTTTTGTCCTTTCAGTTCTTTTAGAAAGAACAACTGTGGTTCAGAGTGGGCTGACATGTGAAGCCTCTGGGAGGAGATGCCATTGAAAACTTCTGGGTGTAATTTAAGGAGATTTAGTGAGCTGTGGGCATTGTATTAATGGAGGATCTTAGCACTAATGTATCTTCCTGTTCAGCAGGAGTCTCCTTCCAAATCTTTGGGCAAGAATTGTGTTTAACCTACCCTAAAGTAGATTATGTGTGCTGGTTGTATGTTACATGTCCCCGGTTGGTGCAGAGTTGCCCTACAAGGAGGTTTATGTCTAGGCTCACACTTTAGACTCCAAATTGTGTCTCTTGCACAGAAATATGTGGCTGTATCCTCGATAGTCACAGATTTCAACTGCAGGAAGGACTGGTTCTTGGATGTGTCTCTGTTGATGTAGATTCTACTTTAAGAGATGGTTTGTAGCTAGTGCCACCATTGTAGCTTCTGTATCCCATTCACTCCAGTTTGTTTCCTGGAAACTGTCGGATCCAGTGCCAGTAGGTACTGGTGATGGAGTAGCCAGTGACAGAACAGGTGAGGAGCAGTGACTGAGATGGATTCACCAGGCCAGGTCTGGACACCTGGAGCTGTACCTTGGACAGAATAACTTCAAAGAAGGGTTAGTCTTTCAGCCACATATTTAAAAAACCCCTAACAGGCACATGTATGAAATTGTATCACTTGCCAAGAAGGACTGTCAACAGGTACATAAGACTCAACTCTCCCATCATTTAGACTCTTCTCTGTTTCTTCAGATGTCAACCTCCAGTGTGAGAGACATGAGCTCACAGAGCACAGGAGTATATTTAACTTAGAGCAAGAGGAAGCACTTGCATGCATGGAGTCAGCTTTGCCTTCCTAATTGGGGAGGATGAATACTGACTGTACTTGGTTATTAAATAAGACCATAATTGTCTCTGGCTTCCTATAGTGTGTGTCTGGAATAAGAGAGCCTGAGCACTGTAGAAATCACAGCAAACCCTTCTAGACTTGATCATACCTTTCTTTGCTAGACCAGCCACCCCCTGCTCCTGGATTTTTAAGGTCTCATGTCAGTGACAATTTTTCTTTCACACTTTTGTTTCTGACTTCTGGCTTTCTTATTAGTAAGTCCACACTGTTCTTAATTTTCTTCTCTTTACCCACCAAGAATCTGTTTCCATCTTTCCTAAAACTTGAGATCCCCTCTTCTTGCTGTTGCAGAGATGATCTCATATATTTCTAGTAGAGAGTCCTTGGCTGTATGTTCTAAAAGAAACATAACCAAGGTAGACAATTATACACCAGAAAACATATGCCAAAATTAAAGGAAAAACAAAACCTTTACACAGTAAAAAATGTTAAAGACACTTACGTTCTCTAATCCATCCACATAGAGGATAATGAGTAAGAGAATGTACAACTTCAAATGAAAATACACATTCATGGTCACAGTGGTTGAGTGAATGAGTGTAGAAACAATCTAAGGGCTAACAAACAACCAGCACAAACATCAAAATCAAAGAAATTACTATATTCCTTCCGAAAATAACTCTTTTCTCGACTTATTTGACATTAAAAGATTCAGAGTAGAGTAATGGATTGAGAAAGGATCCATGCCTCTTGCTGTTACAGCAGACAAACTTTACAGTCATAGTACACTGCACCTTATGTTACATGTTGTAAAAAGATACTCCAAGAACAATAAACTAAAAAACAATCATTGTTATTGTAATATGTGTGTGAATTGATATCCATCAGAATGATGAGATTTGGATTTGTGTCTTCATCAGAAAAAAAGAGTCTGGTCCTGGTTCTCCATTTGACAAATTAATTCTACTATGAAATAAACTACTTTCATGCTTTTTAAGGTTGCCTATGAATTGTGTCATTTCTATTACTGTAGCTTCACAGGCATCTGATGTAGAGTTTACAAACTAAATTCAGTGATCTCTATCAGATCTGTAGTTCATCAAACAAGTATTAAAATTGATACAGAAGAAAGTCTTCTGGAGTTTTATATGTTCAAGAGGAATTGAAAAAATCTGATTTCAACCCAGTTGTCCCCTGTCTTCAAATGCTCCTTATACTCTGTACCTATAATTTATTTTGGTTTTCCCTTTTGCTGTCTCAAGGCAATAAATATTTAGCAATGGTATTGATTGTCTGAAATTGATATCATTTGAAAATCATAATGCAAATTAATGTAATTGTCCCCCTATGTATACCTTTGTGGAATATGGTCACCATTTTTTTTATCATCCCTCCAATATAGACCTTGCTTTGAAATGTGTATTGACAGTGCATAAGTCTCTCAGCAGTTTTTGGAGGACGCAAATATTGACAAAGCACTCTTGCATAATGTGATACATAATGGCACATATAAGATGGAAATTTGTGGTAGATGGAAGCTTGGATCTCCTTGAAAACTATAGCCTCTATTACTTGATGCCATTCTTCTGAAAATTGCAAGGATCATACTGTTCAAAACTAACTACAACATTAATTCTTGTCGTAACCTTTCTATTGATTTATACCCCCAAAATTTAACAGTAAGAGAACCCCCTCATTCCTTTCTGTTCTGTGTCAATTACATTTAAATAGAGAACCCATTATGGCAGTGATATTCTAAATACTTTACAGGGTACAGCAGAAGAACAATGGGGCTTGGAGGACAAAATTTCTGTATACATTGTTCTGGAGAAGCAGACCCTTAAGTCTCATGTAGTCTGCATTTATTTTGTAGGCATCAGCAGAGTCCTTGACCAAACATCTTATAGCTAATTGACTGATGCCTTTCCATTCATGTTGTGGAGTCCGTTACACAGTAGCCTGTGTGGAAGAATTCCCTGTCTTCTTGGTGTTCTATGCTTTCCAGATGGGGGAGTCTAAAGGGTGTTCTAAAAGACAATGATATTTCAAACAGTATGGAAATACAAAATCTGTTTTCATTATCTCTTACATAGTATTTCTACAGGTGATTCATGTCTGTAACAACACATTTCCCATCATTGCATTCATATTAAGCACATAAGATCTGAATTTGTCATACAGAGGGAAACTTTAATAGAAAAACACACAAAAGAAGTGTTCTAAGATAAAGAGATTTCTCACTAATACCAAACACTTTCTGTATCTTAATACAACAGCATTTACTCTAAATGCTCTATAGAAGATATATATATATATATTTCCACCAAAATACTGTGAGAGATAATATCTTGTTAATGCAGGTCCATGTCCTGTTAAATCATTAGAGTATAAGCCAAGACAATGAGACTATGAAGGCAAAAATATGAGAAAAAAGAGTTATGGATAAGCTAAGAACATAATCACAGCTAAGTGTGTATACATTGGGTCAGGATGTCAGTTCTGTGAAGAGATAATTTATAGTATATTTAGCAAAATACAATGAAGCCTATACAGACTCTGTATAGGCTTTTCCACTTTCATCATTGTTTGTATTTTCTAACCACTCTAGTCCCTTCCCTGGGACTTGGCGAATCCAGTGTAACCAGTGATCACAGAAGGTCAATCCTGAGGCTTCAGAGGAGAATTTAATGGAACCTCTAGGCTGCACCAAGCTCCTTCCATATTCTGCCAGCTTCTCGTCACCCTGTATGCCTGAAAACAGAGAGAATCATAGTCAGAAAACTCTCACATATATCCACTGACTCTTTTACTCATATCCTCTTATACAGAGAGAGTCTGTTCTGTATAAATTTTCATTTAAAATAACAACAAGGAAAACCCATGTAAGCCCCAACTCGATGTTGAGTAGCTTGTGTTCAGTGCTAATCACTGAATGGGAAGGCTTGACTGGAATCCAGGGCTGAACTCCTCTCCCACATGAGAGGCTCAGTGGGATGGTTTTGATGAGTAACAGAAGTTCCTACTTACATCTCCTCTTTCCATATATCACCTCTGTAGACAGAACACTGTGAGAAGTCAGTGCTCAGAGAAGATACAAATGATAATTTTTTCATTTACAATAGTATATCAATTATAATTAATTATGCTTTGTTTTTTTAAACATATGAAATTTAAATAGCATCACAGACTATCAAATTTCCACATCAGGCTCATGTCTGGTGTATCGTCCCCCTTGTCCTCATTTGTGCTTCTCCATGCTGAGGACTGCTGCTCTCTGAGATAATACTTGGTCAGATTTAGGCTTGTCTGGTGAAGGTCTAACAACCTCCTCTCACTGTGATGGTAAAACTTTTTTTTAAATTTTTTTATTGGATGTTTTATTTACATTTCATATGTTGCCTCCTTACCCCATCCCCCATCCACCCAGGAAGCCCCTATCCCCTTACTCCTCCTCTTTCTTCTCTGTGGATGTAACCCCTACCTACCCCCCCCCTCCCACTTCTCCACCCTCAAAATTCCCACCCCCTGTGGCGTCCAGCCTTCATGAGGTCAAGGATCTCTTCTTCCACCTATGCCCAGCAGGGCCCTCCACTCTTACATATTCAGCTGAAGCCCTGGATCCCTCCCTAAGTGCTCCCAGGCTGGTGGTTTAGACCCTGGGAGCTGTGGTTGGTTGGTATTGTTGGTCTCCTCATGGTGCCACAAACCCTTTCAGCTCCTTCAGTCTTCACTCTAACTCCTCCATTGAGAACCCCATGATCAGTTTAATGGCTAGTTGTGAGCATCTGCCTCTGAATATGTCAGACTCTTGATGCCTCCGAGGACACATCCATATCAGGCTCTTATCAGCATGCACTTCCTGACTTCCATATGTAGTTTCATATGTTAAAGCATCCATATACATGGAACCTTGTTAATCATCAATATATTCACAGATGTGAACACATATTTCATCCTATACACATCCACAAGACATGAGGCCATATCTCTTCTGACCTTAACTTTCATTGCTCTAGTGATGACACATTGATTCTATTCTTTGCATTTTTTGACTCACATCTCTATCTTTCTTTTATCTGGTTTTGAATCAGTATTATCTAGCTGTATTAGTGATTTCTGCAATGTCAAAATTATTTCCTGTATAAGGAAAGATTCTCTTGCAAAAGAATTAATTCAGTGCATATCCACCAACACACATATAAAATTGTATTTTATATACTACAGCTATCTCCCCACTGGCTGGCAACCAGACATACAAAGGACCTGATAGATACTGAGTTCATGATATTGGATGCTTTCCCTATTGCAATAAGTGATAGTGTGCTGCACGCTCCCTGTTAAGTCTCAGGAATTCTTTCAGTCAAATATCTTGAGTAAGCTATGTAGCGTTAGCAGTCTCAAAAAACTAATATTTGAGACAATATAATTTTCCAAAATTTAATCAATTTGAGAAACTGTGAGTTCTTCCTCTATGAAAGCATTGAGTAAAAGATGTACTCATGATCCAAATTTCTGTTTTGAGTTATAGAATGACTGTATCACAGATATAAACTGCAAAATGTGGCAAGGATTAGTAGCTTCCATCTGCAGACCCTGTGGATTGGGTGATACAACTAAGTAAATGAGTTTGGTATTCAGGAGATAAATCTAGACAGACAGATAAAAACAGGAATAGAATCTGCTATGAAATATGATCCCTAGATAATCCAAGAGCACTGAATGACTTAAAAACAAAGCCATATTTAGGCAATCTCTGCACCTAGTAATGGAGCCAAATCAAGGCTGATGTGTGATGACAGCCCCCTGCGTGTCATCAGTTCTATAAGGGGGAAGTTGTCTGTGATCACATTCTGCCTCAGGAATAGCTATACAAACCTGTGTCTGAGCTTTAAGGATGTTTAGTGCTAAAGCAAAAAAAAACTTGGCTTTTCGAGATATCTTTATAATGCACACTTGAGGTTAGAGCAGTAATTGTAATTTAAACCTTCACCACTCCACATTGTGTCAAGCCATTACAGATCACTTCATATAGGCTGACAGATCCAGCTGATAAGATAGGTGGTGTAAATAGCAATGACAAACCAGAAAAGGTAAGGGATAGTGTCTGTGTGGGCTTCAACAGATCAGGTGATGACACCTCAAGGGACACATGAGAGAATACACCTGAGAAGAAGGAACATCATTATTAATCCTGAGCAATAGAAAGCACATAATGAGTTTTCTCACGTGAACTCTCTAAAGCACTCATATCAGTGAGCATACACAAAACACAGAAGAAGCCTCAGGACACTCAACTCTGAAGAAGGCTTCTGTGAGTAAGAAATGACCACTTATTAATCAGATTTGGACCTTCACCCTTGTAATGTAGGGTCTTTTTGCAGGGAACATGGTCCTGAGGAAGAAAGAAGGTAGTTGAAGCCAGGTTCTCTTTCTCCTTCTTTGCATAAAATTATTTCTTTATTCAGATATGACAGTATTGTGACTACTGAAAATGTAAGGAGTATTGCAATGTTTAAATACAAAAATGTTTATTTTCTTATATATTTATAAAGGATGCTGTCTGGAGAACGAGCA